GGGGGGGTGGGGGGTGGGGGGAGGGGGTGAAACTGTACAACGAAAAATCACTGTCCAACCTTCTTAATGCAAGGTCTGTGCTGTTTCTAAGATGTGGAAAGTGATAGGATGCCAACAGGCAGCGCCTTGTCTAGAGATAAGTAATTTCCGCAAGTGTTTATTTGGACATCTATCCTCTTTATTAATATATGGACGCACGTCACTTCAATAGTTTGGTAGCTATTCAAGACGCGGTTAGTTATCTGTCAGGCGGTATTAAGACTTTTAAACGTACAGGTATGTTGTATTAATATAAATATTCACTGTTTTTTTGTTTTGAGTGAGCCAATTTCGGTTATTTCATATTTTGACCAGTGCGCACTTCGACCATAATATCAGAAACCACACCTCCTAGAACTGTAAGTTAGGAGAAAAGCCTTGCCTTCCAAAGATAATTGGAGGAATGTATCGAATATAACCACTTAATCGACATCAATATTTGGCAATGATCGTTGTATGAACCGAATCATTTTGGGTTTGTGTTGAACACCTTAACTGAATGGACGGTAAAAATAGCACCCCGGCGAAGAGTTCCAATTTTAGGATCCTTTTAAACTTACTGGACCCAATACCATCCACTGATCCAAAGGTAGAGGGATTGAGAAGGGTAGCCAGAATCTGAAGGGCACAGTGTTTAATCTCCCTTGAGATCCAGGCATCCGACCTGGAGGCATCAGCGATTATCGCTGCAGGGGTCGGTGGAGCCTCTTTGGGGAGCACCATTCGGGCAAACATCCCCGGCATCAGAAGCGGTCCACGCTCCTCTGTCTTCACAGTGTCTTCAATCAACTGCTTCCTGAGAACAACAACCAGAGACTCTAACCAATCATTCTTTTCGTAGACCTTGTCAAGTGTTGCTGAATCCTCACCTGGAAAGAAAATGTGCATAGATTTTACAAAGGTGCATAATAAAAATTTAAGTGGATAGCTTTGTCACTTGCATGAAATTTCTTTTGACTTTGATCTACTACTGCTATCACCTCCAATAAACCATCTCATTTTGTGTTTCTTTGGTTTTCTATTCATTTCTGGAGAGGGTGGACATGAGGTTGAAGCATTAGCAACGTGTTCAATCATAGAACTCTTTGAGGGGACATTGAGACAAATTTCTGATGAGATTAAGGCCATGCCAGATGTTGCCGGTCTGACTGCTTGGGTTGGGGTTGTGCTTGTGCTTTCACCATGACTCTCAGTTTGCAATGAATTATTATCTTCAAGTTCAGGTGGAATGGTATGGTTGGGTGAATAATGAAGAATTTCACTGCGAGAGACTTCAGAAGAGAGAAGAATTTTGGAAGAAGTATTCAGACCTGTGTTCGGAGCGCATTCCCACCAGGCTGAAGATTCACGCGACACAAAATGACTGCTTAGTATCTAAAATAAGAGGAAGGAGCATAATTATAGAGCACAGTGGCACGGGATCAACCGTATATTTCAGCTCGAAGTTAAGAGTTCCAATTAGACAAAAATAGTGAGAAAGAAGGTTTTCAGTTATTTTTTCCCATTTTGGGGTAATAAAGACACTCAATTCCTGAATAGCTATATCTAAGCGTCTTGTCTTGTATAACTTACCAAATAAGGCTCGTTTAATGCCGTTTACGATTCTCGATTACTTATTGATTTTAATGCCTTAGCGGCAGACCACACTTCGTAAATATCTGGCATTCTATTCCACTACTGGCACATGACTTCCGTGTCACATTTTGTTTTAGCCTCTTTGTTCACAAATTTTCTTTCAATCTGACAAAGCACTATCCTGGATTTTGTTTAATTTATACACCCAGATAGTGAGGTAATTTTAAGCTGAAACGCTCATAAACTCAAGGTCAATTATTAATGTATCCCTACTCCAGATTTCTTTCATTTACATTGTTCTCTACAGCTAAGCCCAGTAATTACTTTATTCTTATATTTTTTACAAGCGAATGGTGCAGTAAATTAAAACAAGAAAATCTCCGCGTATTCAAATGAGAATAGTCTTTGAGAAGATGTTTCCTCCAGTGTTTGTTAATTTCTTCTAACTTCAAATACTGAAGTGAATAAGCGATGAAGAGAGAAAGACAGTATTTGGTGGTAAGCTCGCACAAGTCTGCTGATAGCTCTGCTTTAAGAACACAAAGTGAGCAATCGGAAATCGTACATCCCTAACTCCAAAAACAAATTTTCAACCAAAATTAGTTGTGATTGTAAGTATTCTTTCCATAACGGGAAAATGTGCACCTGTTTAGCACAAACAGATTTAAGTTAATAAAGACACCAGCCGAATTTCATACCGAAATTTAAACCAACGAAGTCATTTCAAATGCTCAAGCAATGTGGGTCTCAAGGACAAAGAAGGGTCAACCACATCTTAATTTAGGCAGAAATTGTTCGGTTCAGTGCTTTTTACAAATCTCTGAGTCGCCATTCAAACCATAACACTAAAAGAGAATTTCGCTTTAATGAAATCGATAATACTCAAAAAGGGTACTGAAAGAAGATGCCACCTGAGTAAGTCCTAATTACTCAAGGTTGTATGCGTTTTGAAAGTGTCTAGATAATGAATGGCTAATACCCTGTAATTAAGCACGAACTAGCGCAGTGAAATTACATCAGAAGTGCTCGTATTTATGAGACATCAGTTGACGGCAGCTAGCCACTGATAATTACTTCAACTGAACTTGCTCCGACCCAGCAGGAAGAAGACAGAGAGCTGGCAAATCAACTTCGATTCAATTTTCATGAAATATTCAGCTAATATTCATGGGTTCAACTGATTAACCATTTCATTCCTAGCCTAGAGCATAGAAGAACGACTGCGAGAAACTATACACCTGCATAAGATCAACTGTAGAACATGTTCGGCTTTATTGCCACTTACTTGTAGAAGGTAAAGTAGCCTAAATTGTGGAGCTTTCACCAAGATCTGGGGAGTACAAATCATCGAGGAAGCAAAGGCACCTGAAGCTGATTTCATACTCCCTTTTCCCGATTTCTCTGAACCATGAATTCCATCCTGTTGGTGGTAAGTGGGAAGGCAGTACAATAGCAGTCGTGTCATGTGCAATAAATTTGGTCCATTTTGTGCCGATCCAGTCTCGGCTAGATTATTCTCCGCAATGCCGAACAAGGACTCATACACTGATCCATTTGCTGAAAGCATTAAACTAGGAAGATTAAATGGAGCTAGTACGGCATTCAGATCTCCTGAATTTCCAGATCCTGTTGAATTCGGCGTGTTCTGTCTATCAATATGCATGAAGGATGACTTTTTCGATAGAGATGAGCCTGATGGAGCTGGATTTAATACACCTGAAACGTGAAGCCTTCCACTAGCACTTGACTTCATTGATGATCCAGAAGATCGACGCAGGAGGCCGTCAGAAATATTTGAAGTACTCCCATTGGTGGTACCATGTGAATCAGAATGTGGATGAAGTCTGATCAAAAGGGTTCTTCCAGTTTGAAATCCCAATTCTCCAATCGCCTCTCGATCAAGTTTATGTCCAAGAGGCGTCTCACTTTTAGGGTCAGATAGAGGGGCCTGACGATTCCGCTTTGTTAATTCGTGTAGACCACTGACACCAGGAGGTTTAATCGAATCAAGAGAAAGGACTTCTGAACCGATTGCAAACTGGGTTGTCGTATTTGAAATAGCGTAAAGACACACGGGGATGATTAGAGCGACAAGTTTTCTAACAGACGCTAGAGTAGCATTTGAATGAACGATAAGAACTGGATTCTTGAGGTAATTTGCTGTCACATCGCTGAGGCAGAGATTGAAAGAGGTCATGTGACAACGGGCGGTTAGAGGCAAAGTCGAGGAGATCAGTAGCTGACCGGATGGACTGAAAACTCGTAGTGGAATTCTCATCTCCCAGCCTCGAAACGACATGTAATGCGGCTTCCAACAGCTTGGTGGTTCATGTGCTCCTATTAGCTCATCCTGAAAATCCCAGATAAATAAGAAATTTTATTTACAAAATACTACATCAGCAAAAGTCACCATCAATCTGTGAAACAGATTGCAAGTTCTCTCTTTACGAATTTTAGCTGTCAGTATTTTAGAATAGTTTAGTGGGAATTTTTAACATTTCCAGAGGCCTGTCAGGGAATCAACTCCCCTAATTCGTTAATTAGCACTTGAAATTTCTGGGAACCACTCTATTGGTACCCTGCTATTGTTCGGGTGGACCTAAATCGTGGTGTTGTAAGAAAGCACAAGTAGATTCAATAGGGCTGCCAGAAGAATTGAAAGTATCTCTACCCTCCCAATTTACAAACTTGCACATTTCAACAAGTACGTCTTCTTCAAGTAAGAACTGAAATAGAAATGCATGTAAGCTGGTAACCTATATTAGGTGATCATCAAAGGTGAACTCCAATCGAAAGCATATGAACTCGTACTAATAATATTGATTAAATAGAAGTGGACATTGCCCCTAACAGGAACGGTCCTGCTACTAACTAAGCCTTAAGCTTTTAATATTCTTTAAATTTTAAGTCATGGAATAAATCTCCATCCATTAAAGTAAATATTCAGATCGTATAAAAGGCTGCTAAATTAGCTCGCCTTTTTTCGCACTTATTTCAAATCGAGTCTACTTTCTATCTATTGACCACTACCAGTTCCACAAAAAACTAATCAATAAAAATAATTGTTTGTCATAAAATGGTCACTCCTCCAAGATTGGCTTTTACTTTACATGAGAATAGCTTTTTCTTGCAAAGTAAATTAATTTAATCAATTTTTACTGTTTCCTACCTCGGCGTTTTCAATGTAGGAGAAAACGATGTAGAGTAGGCGATAGAGAGCCAATCTCGAAGTCTTACTGAGTCGACATCGCGCAGAGGCGGCAGCTTTAGGACCAACCAGGAGAGAAGCCAGAAATTGACCTGTGTCAGCTAGGAGTGAACGAAGACTGGGGTGAGTTGAACGATTCATTGTGGCCAGTTGTTGACCCTCCAATTGAATTCTTTCAGAATGATTGGTGTATGATGGTGATGCTGCTAGATTTATCTTACAAGTAGAAAAAAAAACATTTATTTGACCATCCCAATTATCTCAATCCAAACATGCCGATATGATAGGGAAAATCTGTTCTTGACATTCCACTTTGCCCCAATTCTGAAGTTAAAACCAAACGAAGACCCAAATGTGATTGAAGTTGAGTAAAATTAGATACATATGTAATTTTTTCATAACAATTAACAAAGTTGAATATTGAACTAGTGAACTTCGGGGGGGGGGGGGTTCAGGCAAATTAATTATAAATAGACAGTCTATGGCAACTTCCAATCAAAAGATAGGCATATTGCGAACTACCGCATGCAATTCAATTAGCCATAATTGCCAACGGATCATTGGCTACGATCGCTGTTGACTCAGACAAAAGTGGAGTTGGTGTACTTCTGCGAACATTTATTGACCTTAAATTGAACAACTCCTCGGGTAAGAATCCTTTCAAAGAAATTGGCTATTGAAGATCAAACTAAGGCTGGTCAGTGGTAGTGCTATTTGTCTGTCTTAGCTGGACAAAATGCCCATTAAAGCGCCGCTTCCCACGAAGAAGAGACGGAGAGAAAAAAATTCTAAAAACAAGAGTGATGGAAGCCATTCCTTTCTCCTAAGTATTCTTTACGCCAACCCACTGGAATTTAATAAGGAGAATGCCCAAATAGACTTTGAAAAAAGTCATTGGCTCATTGTCAATTACGCAAACTCAGTTCATAAAGAATTTTGAACAATTTTGAGAATAGCATCTCGTAATTAGTTATAGTTATTAGATATCCACTTAACGGCATTGGCCTCTAAATATCATTTTTCCAAAATAACCTAAAATATAAAAGCAGTTAGACAACGCCTTTTTTTAAGTGGGAGAAAAGGTAAAAGGTTGACTTAACGGTTTTGCGTCGAAATATCAAACCCTTGAAGTTGAAAAACAATGTGAAACAAGGTTAGATTAACCAAATTGATAATTTCGTTTGTTTTTTCCTTAAAATTACTAGCACAAGACACTTTTCCATTAATTTATAGCCATAACACTGGATTAAAATTAAAAGTTCAATTTTATTGGACAACACAAAGACTTACGAACACTAGTGTGCACTAGATTAATAAATTTTACAATTATTATAATTACCAAACAAGGTGAACTAGGTTGAATAATTTTAGTAACTTGACCATGTGAGGGAATTCGTTTTCATTTGACAATATCACCAGGAAAAGATGACGAATTATATCGTTGACATATTATATAACGGAGTTAACACACCGTCCACTGAATGTACATCAATAAGTGTGCCACTCGTGAACACAGGCCAATGAGATGATTGTGGGAAAACGCTTCATGGTTTCGTTTTCTACCTGCCTGCATAATTAATCATTTGTTAGGGAATTAAATAGACCAACGGTTTAATTCCTTATATATTAGAAAATAAAGATAACAGTAAATCCGTAAACTCAAATTCAAAAATTTTGCCCCATCTAAAGAAAATTGGATAATCAATTCATTGAAATTGCCAGAAAAGTTCCCTGTCCTTGACAAATTTGACAAGGCTTGTCTTCTTTAGGCTGAGGGTTTTCTGTCTTAAATTTTGGCTTAAAATCTGCTGCGAATACTCAAGCAGTAATTTTGGACATCCCAAAACTCTGGTAAACGGAAACAAAAAGTCAATTCTCACATTAATCAAAATAAACCTTTAAGACAGTCATTCGATTTCTAACTTTTAATATTTAATACGCGGGGTGTGTGATACACTTACCTCCACGTGGTGCACCCTGAGCAACGTATACTCATACGGCAAAAAATTCTATTAACCGGCAGTTGACTTCTCACTTCAAACTACCATCACCTCACTGTATGTCATATTCGACTACTTTCACAGTGCTCACCTCACCTTTTTCACTCTACCTTTGTGTCTGTCTCTTTTACATCTTTGAAATACTCTTCTATTCCCCCCCCCTCCCCCTGTCAAATTTTTTTCACTTTGATGTTCCTTCTTCTCTGTGAAGCCTGAAGTCAACTAAAGGGCTTATGATAACTATCAAAATGCCTGCCATTTGATATAAATTAATACTCTTAGAAATCAAAATGCCTGCCATTTGATATAAATTAATATTTAATACGGGCTCAGAAGGAATCATATCCACCATACGACTTTCCCTCTTTCAAAATTGAGTCAAAATGTTGAGCGCGTCTGATAGCCCAAAAGGCGCAAAATCTGATGGTGCTGTAAATTGGCAGGAAAAAACAAAAGCAAAACGAGACAGTTAAAATCTTGATTATTTTACATCTAACTTATCAATTCTAAAAAAACAAAATTTGGAGTGCCTAGAAAGTCGTTGAAAATTGCACATTTTTTATTAATTTTAAACAGCGAAAGCAGAGATACGTGCATTATTGAGCAAATTAAACATAAGTGGCTTAACTTACCTCGATTCGCTTTCGACAGTAGTCGAAGAAACGTTTGTGGCAGCTCTCCGGGTCTCGCTTCAGTTTAGCTGAAAGTTGAGACCAAGAGATGAGTAGCAGGAGTTTTCTGGCTTTATGAATGGCCTGACGACGATTGACAACTTGAGCCTCTGGGAGTATTTCTGTCAAAGCTTCAGCGTTGATCTTTACGTCAATATGAGAGCTCACTTTACTAATAGACGGTGTTGTAGAAGCGGCAACTTCATGATTGTCAAGTGATTTGATTGGTGGTGGCAAAGATACGTAAAGATCCCACAGAAAATCAACACCAATTAGGTCCATCCTCTCGACAGTCTTTTACGAGAGAAATACATATTTAGTTTAGTACAAATTCCATTCTAGAAATAACATGAATCAGCATTCGATGATAGATCACAGTCATTCACATCAATCGCTTGAGTTAAAGGAAGAATTCAAATGTAGTTCGGGAAAAAGGCAAAAGAATAACTCCCAATGCCTTTTAAGAATTTAATTTCGGTAAACATCTTGGGGCCATCTTGATGAGGAATTGGCATTCAGCAACTTGCATTTCATACATGACAAACCACTAACTGGTTGAGCAACGATAAACACTGAACTCGTAACGTCTCGCCTTACATACGAGTACTTTTTTACCTGTTTCAGGAATGGAATTACGACATACCTAATTGCCAAATTCAACAGAATATTTTTAGAATTTTTACAAGTATAGCTACTGAGAAATGAGACAATTATTCTTACTTTTCCGCTTACAGTGAAAACTCAGTAATTCCCATCCCATTAAAATAAAAGCTCATAAAGCGCTCGTCTTAGGTGGAAAGTGGCATCATAGAACTCCCATAATAAGATAATCGATTTCTGTCAGAGACGGTGAGTGTGGTTGTCAACGCTAATCGAACCATTGTCCCCTAACATGACAAATGAGTATAGTGACTAATGCGTCACCGATGAAATTTGAAGGTCACACCAATGTTCCAATAGTGCATTATTTATTCGCCTATGAGATTGAGATAGGTATCACATTTGTTTATTTTATAGCAAAAAATTGTATGAGAGAGTCAGCTTTAGCTCTTTTTGATATTGGGTTGTACCTTCTCAATGGTACCCTGTACTATGGTTAACCGTCATCACATTCATAATGCATTCAGTCAAACAATCATTAAGTTAAGAGATTGAGAGTGCTACCTCAGTGTGGATCTCACTTAATAATTTGATCGAGACGTAGCTGGTGTCTCATGAATCATCATGGCTTTATTTATTTATTTATTTAGGGTTTCATTCATGCAATAATTTGAACATCATTAATTCCATTTATTGGTCCTTCTCTCGAACCCATTTCGATGCCAGTTGACACTATTAAACTTTGTGGCTGCCTCAATTTTCCACAGAATCAAAATTTATGGATTAGTAAAGAAAAGAACAACCAAATAACTCGCGTCAATATACAATTTTTAATCTAATGAAGTTAGGGCAATACGAAACATCAAACTGTCCCAAATTAGAAAATCAGGATTTGTTTTGAGCGATCACGTGGAAAAGAGTGAAGAAAGAATAGCGTAGAAAGAGAACGGTTTGCAACGTTAATAAATTTAAAAGTTGAATAAAATACATTTAGAGAGAATTTTTGTTTTCAAAGTCTTGGCTTGATGACAATTAAAGATGCGTCAGAGCGGATGCGCGATTTTGAGCGAGATCGAACAGATCTATGAATGGAAGTGAGTAGGGGTGTTGCAAGCTCTCTCTCTCTCCCCCCTCTCCCAAGACAATTAACACGGAACAAACCGAGAGAATTAATTTTCAGATGACTTTGTGGATTTGTACCCACTTACCTTCCCTCCCATGACTCAAAGAGATATTTCCTCCATTTCCTTAGAGACCAATCCTTGCGAATTTTAAACAATGTGATTTTCCTAACAGGGACACACTATAGCCAGTCAAATTCGTGTTCTCCCTCGCCCCTTCGACCACTACCGTTAATGCCCTCTAGAACATTCGAAAAGCAGCGTAAGAGAAGGGAATTTTCCTCCTATGAGTTGTTATATTGTGGTAATCCATCTTGCAATACGATACAAACTTACACTTATCCAAAAATTCAATAGAACTTACCCAGCCATCTTGGCTCGTCTTAAGTCGGCCCTCATTGAGATTCACTTTGACAAAGAAGGATTCAAAACATTGAAACCCTACAAGATAAGAGAAAACATCGATAACATATTTCCCCAGGATGTAATTCAAAATATGAAATTGAATTAACCTTTAAAGGTTTGGATGCTAGTTGGTGGAAGTTTTATAATATTCTTGGTAAATAGGCTGTTTTGAGCATCACTTTCAAGAAGATCAATTGCTGAGGAGAACCAGAGAAGAGTTTTCTGCAATAATAGAAGTGTCAAATTGTGTTTAGTGAAGTTGAAAAAAAACATCTATTTTCTAAAATATGTCCAGTAGTTGCGACAGCTTACTTCTACATCAAAATGCGCGCCACCAAAGTCATTCACAAGAGTATCCCAAATTCCTTGAGTCCTATCAGTGGATAGGTGAATATCCGCCGTGCTTAGTATATAATGTAGAACAGTCAAATGTCGATTGACCACCTTGAGCAAAATAATAAAGAGAAGGTAACAAAACCATCAAATAGACAAATCTACGCAAAACTCATCATTTACAAGTAATTTCGCTTCCCCAGCTAATGGAGGAAAAGGATGAAGCTGATCGACTTTTATTACATAGTAATAATAATAATGAATAATGAAATTCTTATTCTGGAACGCGAACTGCTCATCCAGCAAATATGAGAGACTCATCGGCACCCTGACACTGCTCTCTGTGTCTTTTTTACCCCCCCCCCCTCCCTCCTCACACCTCATCATTTATTGAACTTTCTACTAACAAGTTTCATTTGTTTGCTGCAATTATTTGGAGTTAAAAGTCAAAATGCAGTCTTACAGCTTTCCTCTATTGGTGACTGTGGGCGATTATTCGAGTGGTAGGTTATTTGGTTTCATAAAATTGGATTTTTCGTTTAACCCGCCTGGGAGGATTTTTGGAAAACCACGGTAAAATTGTAACCTTTTTGCACTAAAGTGGCTAAATTGATTATACCCGAGGATTTAAGGTATCATGTTGCCGGTGTGATTGTCACCACCTCGCTACTAAACATAAAAATGTATTTTCAATGGGAATTTAGTAAAGCGAAAACATATCAATAATCAATAACAGCAGTCAATGTGAGTAAGGAATACAGTCACTACACACAATCAAGCCATTGCCTTGTTTATGTATTGTTGCAATATTGATTGAACCTATAATTGATCACCGGACTCACATCACAATTTTGGGCGCTGATTCCATGTTCATAGCTTGACGATTTTGAAATAGAAGGAGCGGTCCCGTGCTTGGCAGTGGTTGCGTGTTTTTGAACCCGATGGAGGGAGTTGCAAACTGTGTCGATGAGGGAGTGAGTCTTGTTCAATTCACGAAGGGCATCCTGTAAAACAAGAGTCTAGTCATTACCCAATAAATACTGCTGGAATGTTTCCTGAGTAGTTGAAAAGTAGCTTTAGGTTGAAATAGAACGACTATTAGAATAAAAGAATAAAATTTTTCACTAATAATGCTATCATTAAGCTCAATAAGCCAAAAGAGCACAACTGTAAGTTAAGAAGTGATGAAGTGGAGGGGAACATGAAGACACTGAAAGTGAGGGCGACGGAATTCAATCATCACGATTCGCTCAGTGGATTGTAGAGAATGCTTGCCAATCATGTTCAATACCTATTGACCAGGTTTCCTGATCAAGATGGATCAGAGTAACCACTTCAATTCCTGTTTTCACACCCAATGGTGGGAACTCAACAGTTTACATTTTAGTAATAGAAAGGTAAAATTAAACCATTTTTATTTTTATATTAATATTATTGTTACTTACTCGAAAGGATTTAAAATTTTGATTACAATTTGACAGGTTTAGTCAGCGCAGCTGGATAGAAGAAAGACTTAATTTCTGATTAAAGTTTTAACCAAAGTACTAACACTGCTTAAAATCCGTCTCTAGCAAAACCAACTTATATTTCATTTTTAATTTGTTAAAGGTAATGAAAAGTGGATTTAAAGAGAAAAATAAAGGAGGGGAGGGGGGGGGGGGGGGGGGGGGTGCTAGGTGGATAAGCGCCATTTCCGAAAATGCTTCATTGAAATGCAAACGGCAGGATTGGTATCCTAAATAGAGGACAGCAACAAATATTGTTGTGCAATGCGAAGCCAGAAAACGGGAGCATTTTGAAAAAAATGTTGCTCGTACGATTAATCCCATACTCCCAAAGGTAAAAGCAAAATGCAACAAGATGAGTGCTGTGTATATACTTTTACACAAAATGTTGTTCTTATGATTAAATTATTGCCTCTTTTCTAAATGGACCAAGTTACGGGGACCTAATCAGAAACATTTGAACACTGTCAAAGGCTAGAGAGAGGTGTAAAAGATGTAGAGAATCAAGACCAGCACAATATAGCGACCAAATACTTTGGCCACCCTACTTGACACATCGGATCACTTCATCATTAGGTCAAGCAAATTCTGAAGGAACTCCGTATTAGGCCAAGCAGAAGTTTGTGCTGGTCAGCAGACTTTCATGAAAATATTCTGTTCACCTTTTATAAGAACTTCTGTCTTAGTACGCCCATGGTGAGGCACGAAATGAGTTCATAAGTTATACTCTAATTAAATCAAGTTAATTGAATCAATGTACAATTGAAATTAAGTAAGAAAAGAAGAAAGTAAGTAATTTCGAAGATACTGAGACTTCCGTATTCTTAAGCATAGGACTAATGCTGCTTTAGACCCTGGTGTTCAAATAGTTTTTCTTGACTCTCAGGATGTTCCAAACTTCCCCATATCAAATGTTAAAGCTAGCACCCATAGTTTCAGTGGAATTGCAATAACAATGACAAATTAGAGGGAATTGCTTAAATGGGAATGGTCAACTTCTCAGATCAGTTCCACTTGTGTGTCAACCTCAAAATCTTTCAGTTCCTCCATTCAGTTGTCCGTTATGCGTAGAAAGCAAAAAAATAAATCACTTCACGCCCCAGGAATGAGCCACTGTTATTTCCGGGTGCATTAACACCATCCGATGCTATCGAGTCTCTAGCGCACAACTTCACCCACCTTTCTTTTTACTGACAAAAAAATGATTTTTTTCAGTAAATATTTTAAAGCATTTATTTTTGCGCTTTCATTAGCTGTTATCTTCAAACCCTCGGGCAAAATGAAACTTTCCTTTGCGCCTTAATTGACTTAAACTAGATGGTATGGACTAAAAGTGGGCTATTCAAACAACTTTTTTTCTTAGTGTTTAAAAATACTTAATTTTAAAAGAATTTCATTTACTCCAACTTATCAGCTTTTTAAAAATAATCGAATCTTATTAACCCTGGGAGAAAGCATGACATTTATTTCTGATTTTCTATTCCATTAAAACTTGAAATTTTTCAAGCTATTATACCTGTTCCTTCGGGATGTCAGAAAGATGAAATACTGAAGTGTGTGTATAAATGACTATGACAAGGAATTTCGGTTGTGCACGTGCTTAATTATTAATTTCCTACCCTCGAAAAAAAATTGGAATTCGAACATTCGTTGTGAAATATCGCGTCTGTTTCTATCCACTGCCAGTGGAATGATTGCTGTGAGTTTCGATACATATTTGTAGTATGACATCAACCCCCCCCCCTCTCTCTCTCACTCTCTGGCCATAAATTTTACTATCGCTTGACTGGATCAAATAACTGGATATTTAAAAAGGCTCCATGATTTAGAAGTACTTTAAGAAGGATGTGGAAAGTGTGCTCGCTAATGCAAGAAATGATAGATAGGACTAGAGGTCGAATTTTTCAACTATATAAATCGAAGCACTTTCTGACAGAGATTACAAGCGAAACAAGCCATATTTTTTCTTCAAAATAGTAAATTAAATCAAATCAATGATTTACCTATCGATTAAGACTCTGGTTCCCTCAGTACGTTTTAAGCAATCAGTTAGCGATTCGTTTTCAGCATTAGAAGCAAAGGCAAAACATGGCTTTAATTTGGTTACTTCGTGTTATAAATACTTCCTTCAATTTTAGCCAAAAATATCAGTTATGACAGCTAAGCACTCCATAACTACGTTTGTTTCCATGTTAGAAGGAAAAGAATTTGATTGGGAAATGTGCGACTATAAAAATATGACATTTTTTCTTGAAGAGATTGCACCCATCTTTAGAGCTGAGTTCCACCAACTTCAAACAACCAAGAACGTCCAAAGGACAAAATCACAGATCACTACATGAGCTCAAGGGGGGGGGGTGTTTCTCTCATTTTTGTGATAAAAATACTTTTGTTTTAGTCTCAACTCACCAATCGTACCTCACTCCATTAGACTAATATGCTTAAAGCAAGCTTTAGATAAATAGGCTAAATGAAGTTGCGATAAATTAAGGTAAGTTTAGAGACTATTTCAACAATATATTCAACCTATTCACCATACAAAATACTTATTTTTCTGTGCTGTTGCGATCTACACAAACTCTCAAGCACTTCCCCAATAGAGAATACTGATCCACTTCCTGCATGTGTCCATTTGGCAGTGGCATGGAATTTTTATTTATGGCAGAAATTTATTTCAATTGAGCAGTTTATTGAACACGTGTATCCTCAAACGTACTGACCAATCAATGCTGATCTTCACAGCATTGCAGTCGAAATGAATGAATACATTTTTTTTTCCTGTTAAACACTTACATCCCAAGTTCTTATCAGCCTGCCAAATCTTAGCCATTCGGATGAAAATATGTAGCGAAAGTGACTTACAGGTGGATAAATTGAATACGCTACCAATAGACAAATGATTCCGGAAGCTAAGAACATAAAAGCACTCAAGAGAAGACGGGAAGCAATTTTGAACAAGAAGCGGAAAGATCACAATTCGATGCACGAATTCTACTTTATCACAACCTCTTACTCTTAACTATTAAAAATAATATTGTGCCAATTAAGTTCGTGAATTTACCTTTTTACTTCGTCCAGGGAGGGGTTTGCAGATTAGATCGAGAATGGTTTGCAGAAAATCCAGGACATAGTACGCTGACCTGCCCTGGAAAGTAGTAAAATAATGCTTTTAATAAGTGATTTCATTATGCTTTTAAATAGGACAAATCGCCTATGCATTTTTGCAAAAAATGAGATTTCCATGATTTCAAATAAGCTCGGCTAAATAAAAAATTATGCTCTGCTCTTGGGAAAACTATCATTGAGGTACTCTGACAACTCAATTCATTAGCTGCACATGGACGTGCCTCTTTTGGATTCAATTCGGAGGGGTGAGGGGTGGGAGGGGAGGGGGGGGGGTTAAAGGATGAGTTAATTAATCAATTTCGGACCTTTAATACTATTAACAAATGAGCATCCTTCAATCAGGGAGTGAATCGAGAGCTCACCTTTTATCAAAGTATCATGAGCAACCAATCAGTTAAGTCAAATAGCAAAAGTGAACTCGACTTAACTATCATATCCTTTATGAAAAGTGAGATAGTTCTATGCTTAATATAATCAAATAAATTCCAAATTCGTTATACTCTCTCTGTTTCATGCCCTAATACATTACTTTACTTCCCCCCAAACGCGTGTTATGTGAAATAGGATAATAACAACTACACCTATCCAATTACTAAGATACCAGTTCCCGGCCAAGTAAGGAAACAGCAAATCAGGAAAAAATGATGGGAAATGTACCCTCTTTAATTCTTCAGCCGCAACAGATAACCACGAATTGAGTCTCTGCCTTTGCTCATTCGCGGGTAGTCGACATTCCCTCAAAACAATCACTAGTTGGTTGATCGCTGCCTCGGTATGCTCCGGATTCAAAGGAGCATGATTCATCGATCCCCCATCCACCCCAACAGCACTTCCTCCAACACGTCCAACATTGCTAGATCCACTACTTCCACTACTCAGGGCACTAACAAATCTTTCGAATTTTCCAGAACCTCCTTTTCCCTTCTCCTCGATATCAGTTGAAGCCGATTTTCGCCTTTCTGGAGATTTTGGATGTAGTCCATGAGAGAGCTGCCAAAGCAACCGGAGACATGCCTCCGAGACCCATGCTTCTCGGGATGCGATAGCTATGGTTGCGACGAAATTGAGTAGACGATGTCTGGCATTTCGAATTTCAGAAGATTCCACGATTGGATGACGCGTAGGTAGAGTTGTTGTGGTATTAATAGAAAGCCGATGGCGGTAACGGTGCTTCATGCCGATTTTACCATCTCCACCTGAACGGGTGAACTGGATCCGGGATTGTATATCCAAGGCACACCAACTCTGTTTAAGTATAAAAGTGGCATTTTAGTTAAATTTATTCCTAAATTTACTTCTTCAGCAAATGACGGTGTATATTAAAAGGCTTAACTAACGCATGAGAAGAAAAAGGTGGGTATTCAAGCACTTTCATTAAACGCGAGTTACTGGTTGTCAAATTGCAATGATAACGCCCAGACTAAACTACTCAAAGCTTCGACACTGGAACAACATCCACTTTCCTATTAGAATACTGCCTTGGCAACCGAAGGTGAGTGTGAGCATTTTAAAGACTAAGTTATTCAATCATTCAAATTTTATGGTTTTTGGTGACAGTGTAACTTCATAATGACTTTTACTTTTGAAAGCTATCATTTCTTTTCCATTATTCGAATTTCAGTTACTGTCTAACAATGGAAATAACCAAAATTCAGTAAGAGGTAAATATTCAGCATAATAGGTAGTGCTGTGAAGCAATAGTCATATAAAATAAAATAAAAGTGAACTACAGAGAAATCAGTAAAGAAAAACACCAAAGCTGCAGACTTTCCATTTTTTTCATAAATCGACAGAGTACCTCTTGACAGCTTAACGGATAAGCCGTTGTCAGCCTGACGATGTTTGGATCAGCAAATATTGGCAGTAAAGGGCTCATCTTGTGGCCCTTTTTAAAAGCCTTTGTTTAGTTAACAAAGAGTTTTAGAGTAATTGCACAACTCTTTCATCTCTATGATTCTAAGTCAGCTGTGGCGAGCGATATCTAGTGGGAAGCTTAATCGTGGCGGTTGAAGCAAAGCTTCTCCTCATTCCAGAAGCAAAGACGGTTTTATTTTTTAGAATAATATATTGCTTGCTTGATTTAAAATTAAATGCCAAGCACATTGATCTGAAGAAATATAATTTCAAAAACACATATGCTAATATACTATATATCTATCGTATCCCATTACTCCTAGCCTCGTATGTAGGCACTTTGGGCGTATCATTCAACCGCCTGAACCAACTTTGTAGTTAGCAAAGAAATCACCACGATGAACCAAATATGGGAAAGTTGCAAGTTGAAAAGTTTAGAATAAAAACTTTTCGAAAGATTGAAATTAACTTTGAATTTCGCAAATCCTTAATAAGGACTTTCGCTTTTTCAAATGAAAGAACACTTCTAGCTTCTCTTATAAAATAATGCCTAACAACTTTGAGAGAATTAAGATGATTATGTTGACATAAAATCCTTTCTATATAACTTGGGCATCAATGAAAATTGTGCTACCTTTTGCTAATCAATAATGACCAACTTATGCTATTCCATAGGTCAAATCACCAACAGATCAGCAAATAATTTCTCCATAATCCCAAAAGAAAAACTTTTAAGAAAGAAAGAGTCGAATGTGCTCACTAAAGTCTTATCTGTGTGTTGAGAAAGATACAATGGAACTACCTCTGTGAACTTGGGCCAAAGACTATAGAAATCCGATCTAGGAAACAGATGATTCCTTGTTAGCCAATAGTAGGTTCAGTACCTTGAATTGATCTTCGTCTTCTCTTTTTTGGTGATAAAAACCACGTTGGCATGTTTGACAGTCTGTCATTACTGAGTTATTTTTGCTCGTTGCTTCATCAGTGCTGTTGTTGAAAAATAACCACTGGATGCAACCTTGAACATTCTTGCAAAATTTATGGGTGCATTTTCAATAGCCATGCCTCTGAGTTTGTAAGATATCTTTCAAAACTTTTTGTGACATTTCCCTACGTCGAATTGGTGGGAATGCAACAGACCCACCTCTCTGAGCCAAAAATTGAATTGCTTTGTCGCCAACAGAGGCTGCAAATGTTACTTAATATCGCTATCGAATATCGATAATATACTTTTTTCCGATTTTGCGACTTCCTAGTTCCATGGGATCAATTTAATAAAAGCAAAGAAATCGACGCCAACCATTTGGGGGGGGGGGGGGGTGGAGGGTTAAATGGACGAAGGGGATTTCGAACAGAAACTTGACCAATCATCCCTGAATAACTGCTACCAGGCTGAAAGTTTGACGTAAAGTGTCTAGGCAGATTTTTTACCACTCCCGAGGGGATTGAAGAAATTTTCACAATCTAAAAAATAATCCATTTTATGAAGGTCATGCTTAATGCGCATGGGTATGCGACAGACTTACTTCCACGTGGTGCACCCTGGGCAACGTATACTCATACGGCTAAGAAGTATATAACTCGGTAGTTGACTTCAAACTACCATGAGTAAGTCTATTAACTGGCAGTTGACTTCTGAGTTCAAACTATCATGACCCGAAGTATATAACTCGGTAGTTGACTTCTCACTTCACACCACCATGACCTCACGGTATGTCATACTCCACCACTTTCACTGTACTCATCTTACCTTTTTCTCTCTACCTTCATGACTGTCGCTTACTCCTGTAAATCACTCTTCTGTCCCCCCCCCTCTCGACTTTTTCTAACTTAGATGTTCCTCCCCTTTTTGAATCCCGAAGTCAGCTAATGGGCTAATGAAAATTATCAAAATGTCTGCCATTTGAAATAAAGAAATAAATAAATGCTATATGCGCATTTGGGTGGGGAATTCAGAAAAAAATATTGGACACTGATGACAGCAGATTTTCTTCTGTCGACAAATGAAAAGATTGAAATTACGAGAAAATAACAAAAACTATAAATTACGAAAAATTTCGAAATACTTGATTCAGAATTCTTTATCGATCCCACAAAAGTCTTGAGATAGCGGATCAAAATGCGTGGCAAATTGGACACCGAACAATTGTTGTTTCAAAAGTTATTTATTTCAATTGTTTAAAATTCTTTCCTTTGTAATTTTCGGTGTACTTTAAAAGTTAAAGAATTCGATTCCCTAGGTTTAAAGGTTAGTAGTTTAACCCCATTCTATGCCCAATAAATCGCATCGAAACTTTCAGACACGTACGTAGCCACTTTCGGACAATTAGGCCGAGGTAGAAAATGACTCCCCAAAATTGTATTCACGTGCTAAACGCGCTTCTAATAATAGACACAACCTTGGCAGGAAATTTAAAAAAAAATTTGCAGCTTTTAGACCCTACTTAAATATTTACATATGCGCAATGCAATTGGAAGACAACTCTTTCCATTCTCAAGCATTCAAATATTCAAGAACCTCCCAAGTTGGAGCCCTACGACGTAGTTCTATGACAAGTAAATCAAATGCCAAAATGGTGGCGGAGCGTTGCGGGAATAAAAGGGAGCAGATTGATTTTATGACCAGCAGTAACAGCGATACAAAATATATTGCCACACACTCAACGTTTGAGGAAGCTAAAGGCGAATACTTTCGATCTATCGGGGATCCCACGAATTAATTAGATATTTATTAAAGTAAACGGTGGAAATCGTTTCAACTCCTCATTTAGAGGTTAAATAACGCGTCAAAACAGGTCTGCCGTCAGTCAACAAGCTTCCCAACTTAACCTATCGATCGTATCAATCCTAAAATAAAAGTTCCCAACAAGTGCTACAAATATTTGCTCTAGATCGAAAGGTCATCAATGAGAGTCAACTATCAAAGTTTGTTTTGATCAAAGTAATAAGTATACGCACTTCTCTAACGAGCTGTTGAACATGCTCGAATTGAGCTTGATTGAAGCCGTTGGCGCTGACCTCTGAAAGGAGTTTGAGGATGTTGTTTACACCAGCGTTGCTTTGAGTCTCTTGGCATTTCCAGAGAATTGTAATATCCTCCATTGTTATATGATCGACCAGGCATCGAAAGAGTTCGCACAGTGTAGCAACATAAGTAACGTTGTCGAGGTTGGCTGAAACGTAATTACAAGGTTTTCTTATTGAAAACTCAATCAGATGAAAATAAAAAAATTATAGAACTCTTCTTTCAGGATAACTCACAAATCAGTTTGTAAGGTATTAGTGGCATAAAGTGGTTCTAGATTTTGTAGTCCATATTTTTCAACCAAATCAATTGTTTCGTTGGTTCATGCATCAAAATGTGAGTTGAATTGGAATGTGCACACTTTCATTTTAGATATTACGTATAAAGAGAACTTGAAACGGGTTGATCTTTGCGTCCGATGGCGTTTACCTACGGAGCCTTCAAAGTCAATCAGTGCTCAGTCTTCAGGGAGTTTTTTCGGGAATTGACTGTAAACTGGATGATTAGTGTTCGATTTTAGTTTTGGTTTAATATTTTAACCAACAAATATTGACCAATTTACCCAAAAAAGATGAAAGCGCATTTGTGGCTAGTTGGTACCAACTTAGGCTTACAGCTCGTAAGAATAAGTTCAATTTGACATTTAGAAAAAAACTAAACTTTCTCGACTGAATGAGTTACCATTGGACAAATGCATGTTGCCCCTGCTTCATCCCTTCTTCAAATTAGCTTTCATCCCATATCCCAACCAATAAATAAACTTTGTCCTTACGCAATCGATCCTATTTTATTCAAGTGCATTGAATGCTAATTGTGTTTTCTATAATTTACAAGGAAAGTTTTTACTTGGCCCTAAAGCAGGTTTTAAACCATATTTCATTTCTAAACATGACTAATAACCCTTTAACGCCCCCAATAATTTCTTGAAAAATCCGCCCAACCGGACACTCGCGTGTCTCTCAGCAGACTGATGCCGCCAATGTGGTGAGTATTGGTGGCAACAGGAGGCTATAGACGCATTGGGCATGTTTCAAACGCCAGTAGCACCTTCTGTGTTACGAGTTAAGTACCAAGGGAGTTTATTTTGGAAGAGAACTGTGCGATCCCGCATGGCATTAAAGGATTAATGGAGTTGTACGATAATGTCATGAAAGTGCTATAGAATTGCAGCCAGTTAGGACTGCCAATTCCTTCCATCGCGTTGTAAACATTCCTCTACCTCAGATAAGTGAGGTTCTAATTAGACGCTCTCAAATGTTTCATTTCAGTCAAGGTAGATGGCACGTAAATTATTAGCGTGACAAAAGGTGGGAATGTGCGTCAAGAATGAGTCCGTGCGTCACAACTGCCGTCTCCCCACTCCATTAGTTGATAAAATGACCTCAATAGAATGGATAAAAATTTTGATGTTCAAAAGTTATTCTAGAGAGGCTGTTAGATAGAAGACCATGAATTTCGAACAGGAGCGCGCGTCCTTTTTGTCTAATAGTCGAATGCAAAACCTGGAAGCCGCCTAAGTTCTGGTTGATTTTATTTATTGTGATCTCTTAGCCAATAGGTAAACAGTTAACAAAAACCAGTAAAATATTTTGAAATGAAAAAGTAGAGAGAGAGAGAGAAGTGTTAAAATAAGGATGTCAAAGTTATTATTTGCTGACATTTTATCCCTTACCATTGTAACTGCTTAACGGAGATTTAATTACGGCATTTAGGGGGGGGGGTATGTTGGAGAAGCAAAAATTGCAACGTTCAATGCAAATAGTGAAATCGCCCTTCAGGCAGCACCTTCAAAAGTCCCTAATGGCAAGAACAGCTCCAACTTTTCAATCTCCTCAAAAAATGTCAAGCTGGTAGTTGGGCCTCGCGCATTCCAAACAAGTGCCTTCATTAAGAACATAGAATGAACCAATGACCAAGTGGTCATTTTCAACTTATAAGGTCGGTTTGTGGTATTAATAGAGATGATAGGGTCTTGACAATCAAATCTGCCAAATCTGAAAATCGATTCTTGCTCATCTCCACGCATTTTATGTCATCTTTAAGGCAAGAGAAAGGTATGTAATCAGCAGAACTGTTTGGTTTAGTGACTATGTATTCAAATAACACAAGTTTTAAGCTTAGTTGCCGCAAAATAGGTTATCTTAAGCTATTTATTTTTGGAATAGTGATGGCATTCCAGAGTTGAATTGGAAAATAAACAGGGGACTGGGGTTATATGAACAACCACAGTACTAAAACTGTGGTAGAATTAACTTACTCATAATGGACTGCACAACCGCCTTCTCCCTAACCCAATGCATCAGTGTATCATGTCTGATAAGGCGATGCAATTTCCTCCTTCTCAAGAATGACTGATTTTCCGCCGCAAGAATTGAAGTCGACGTGACCACAGCTCCACTTCCAGCTGTGGCTGCAGCCTTTGTCAACTTGGCCTGTTGGACCGCGGTCACCAGATCAATCAAATGTCGGATTGCTAGCATCCTCACTTTAAAGGAACTTGACGCTCCGGCAGGTGGACAAAGGGAAGACAAAAGAACGACCAAGTGTCTTTCATCCACTTTTGCGACTGAGAGTGCAGTAGTGGGAGCAACAACCGGGTTCTCCGCCATCCATTTATCCCAATCTGGTTGGCGTGGTTGGGAAAAATCTGTAACATCGAACGGAAGATCTGATTCCTGGTTAATTGCGTCTGGTGAAATATTGGCAAAACGATAGCAGAGAACCCGGAGAGAGGTGATGAGATCGAAAATTCGCGACTCTTGTGGGTTGAAGTCTTCATAGGTAAGATTGTGAATGAGCCAGAAAGTACGAATAATTAACCATCCAACGTAACGACATATGGTTCTTGGAGTGAGGTATTCGGCGACATTAGCCAGTGGTTCCATCACTGACTGCATCATCTGAAAATAGAAAGAGGAAGATGTGTTTATCGTTTTAATATTAAAATATCATTTTAAGAGTTGTTGGTGATTTAAGAGTTTATCAATCATGGCTGGGGTGCGTGATAGACTTACCTCCACGTGGTGCACCCTGGGCAACGTATACTCATACGGCAAAAAAGTCTATTAACTGGCGATTGACTTCTGGCGCAGTACTCATCCTACCTTTTCTCTGCCTTCATGTCTGTCTCTTTACATCTTTAAATCACTCTTCTGTTCCCCACCCCTCGATTTTCTGTTACTTTGATGTTCCTCCCCCCTGTGAAGTCCGAAGTCAGCTAAAGGGCTAATGATAAATATCAAAACGCCTGCCATTTGAAATAAATAAATCAATCATGGCTAGAACACTCGATTCATTTTTTCGGGATTTCAAAATGCATGTGTACTTTTAAACGATTAGAGAAATGAACTTTTTGGTTAAATTAGTTCCAATTACTCCATTCGTCAATATTTTAATGTTTAAATACTTAAAATTTGTACTATGATAGAACTTTATCAATCAGAATTTTGCCTTCAATGTTTGGTCGATTGAGATCAGAACCTTCAACAAGTTCTTTAATGAGCAATTATTTTCGCGGTTACATGCATTTATAAGAATTGGAAAGTCGTGAGTAAGACCATTAGGACAAGGCACAAATGAATGCTTTGTGATGAAAGTATGGTCTGGATAAAAGAAGTAAACTCTGCAGTAAAGAGGGAAGTATTTCCACTTCAGAAAAAAAAGCTTTCGGCTGACTTGCTCGAAACCAATCT